TCTGGTCATTTGTCGTTTAAATGTCTCCCATCGTTCATCAACTGCAACTAGATCTTCTCCTCTCATGGTCATCGTTCCATCCTCAGTAGAACTGCCATAATTCTTCTGAGCTGGGGCTCCATAGGCTGTTGCAGTGTGAAGGCAAAGTTGCATGTGCGCCACTTCAAAAATCTGAGTTGTGTTCAAATACTATTGTCCACATCTCATTAAAATAAACAGGTAAAAAAAAAGTATGATTCAGAAGCTATCTAAAGGCATTTTATAATAAATGACAGTCAGAATCCAGCTGTGCTGTGTCATGACTCAAAATAATAAAACACTGGAAAATGTGCAATAAAACAATAAATCTAAATAATTTACCGGTCAGTCTTCATGTTCCATGCAGCATTCAAATTAAAAAAAGCTCTACCTGAAATAGACTTAATACTACATTTTCCCAACTCAGAATCTCATTTTGATATCTGTGGCTCAAAAAAAAAAAAAAGCAACCTTTTCACAGTTCTGCTCATTTTTCAGGGCAATTTGCGAATAATTTTCACAACAGCACTGAGTTAGCTCTCCTCCGGGTGACAAATGAGTCACCGGTGCGTTTGAATTCAGATTCTCACACGATTTTAAATCAGCTGGATCTGATCCTAAGGACAGAACTGATGAATCCTCTCTCTTGGTTTGTCCCAATAACACATTACAAATGAGCTTTTTCTGTGGTTTTCTCTTACCAAGACATGACAGTTGAGAATTTGGTATATTTATATTTTAAACATTTTTTTTATTTATTATTTCCTGAAATGGTCACCAAGACTTTGAAAAGAACAAGAAACGTTAATTGAAAGTTTTAATCACTTTGTCTATTGATTACTGTGACTCATTGACAGTGGGAGTCACAGACCGTCATTCACCTCTGAGCTGCTTCCACTGGTTTTAAATTGAATTTTAAAATATGCTGGGGTTTTTATGGTTGTTCTGTTATAATAATACATCAGCATTGTTAGGTCAACTTGAACTGAACAAGTTAAAAACCACAAACTCAAGAAATGAGAATGTATGTATTATGTTTACCAAGCCTCACTTTGGTGATGTAATGTTTTATCGTCTGCCACAAAGGGCGAAAATAAATGAATAATTTACAGCTAGGGGAAGTTTTTTTTGTTATCGTGCAACAAAATGCAAAGGGAAAGTGGCGTTTTTGTGTTCTTTTGAAGCTATCAGCAGCTTTTTACAGTCAACTAAAATTAAGAAGTCTAGAGAAAAGAGAGAGAGAGCGAAACCGCATGTGACGGAAAAACAGAATGACATAAAGTCAGTAAAATGAGAGTGAACCTGTCAGGCAGTTTTTGAAAAATGATTTCCACAAGGTAAGACTTAACACTGACGTTCACTTCCAAGCACTGAAAGCTGCTCTTTGAATTGCATACCCAGTTTCACCACAGCACTTAAACTGGATTTGTGCTGCAGCTGGGCTGCAAAAAGATTCTTGGAAACAAACATAAGAGGTAGAAGACTGAGAGGCTGTCGGTCACCTCTGCAAAACAAATACATTACACTGACCTCACAGATCAACTGAACAATCTGTCAGAAAAAAATCATTTAAAACGAACAATTTGTTGAGTAACGTTTCACCTTTCAATATGAAGTGTTTTGATAATACAAATAACATTTATTTTTTAGTTAACCTTTACTTTACCAGGATAAAAAAACAAAAATATTGAGATTTAAAACCTCTTTTCTAAGAGAGTCCTGGCCAAGAGGCAGCAACAAATACAACACAAAAAATTACACCGTTAAAAGAAAATGTCAAGCTATAAAAAACAGGTACACGTCATTGAATTGGCCTCAATAACTTAGTTTGGACGTAAAAGCACTGAATGAGATGAATTCAGTCAATCTCTGAGATTCTTGTAGCAAGTTCCAAGTAAAGGGAGCAGAGTGAAGGAAATCCTTCCTACCCAGTTCAGTCTGATCAAAAGGGACAGAAGCAGCAAACTGTGTGATTGAAAAGTAGAAGAGTCAACATTTCTCACTGCAGTTGCAGTACAAGTATAGGCCGGCAGTCCAAGCAGTGCCTCGTAAATAAAAGTTAACCAATGGGAGTTCCTTCAGGCAGCCAGACCAGGCTATCCCACCCGTGAATATAAATCACAATGGTGTGTTGGCATTTTGCACTTTGTAATGAAGCTCAGAGAAGAGAGGTAGATAAAGTCAAGCATCTTAAGACATTGTGAGGAAGCAATCATATACAGTACAAAAGATCTACATAGTCCAAAACAGACATAAACGTTGCAGAGACAAGCTGCTTTTTAGCAGTATATAAAATACATAACTTATTTTGAAAATAAAAGCCCATCTTTAAGTTTAGCCTTTTCACAAGACTTTCCATGTGGGGTTTGAAAGTGAGGGAATCATCAATCAAAATGCCCAAATATTTATTTGTGTGAATCAACTCTATTTCATTTCCACTGTAAGAAAACACAGAGGGAATGTTCTGTGGTCCTCTGGATCTGGAAAAGTACATCAATTTAGTTTCATCTGTATTAAGGACAAGTTTTAAGTTTAATAAAGAGCATTGGATAGCAGCAAAGGCTTTTTATAATAATCCAATAGAGTAGGAGCGGATCCAGTGCAATAAATAACTGTCGTCTGCATAAAAATGCAAATAAGCATCAGACACATTCTGTCCCAGTTCATTTATATAAATTATGAATAGAAGAGGACCTAATATAGAACCCTGTGGTACACCTTTATGAATAGTTACAACTTCAGAACATAAATTATTGTATTTAATACATCATGTCCTATTCCTGAGATAATTTGTGAACCAAGCAAGCTTGTTCCAAAAACCAGAGTCCGCAGCATGGCTATCAGAATTTCATGGTTTACAGTATCAAATGCTTTTGACAAGTTGACAGAGAGAGCCTTCTCCCTTCTCTCACATGAAGTGCAATGCACATCAATTAAATTCAAATTCCCTTGCATTTAAACTACATTAGAGTATTTGCCCACAACACAAACTTTGTTCTATCATACTGTTTATGAAGCTACAGTAGGTCACATGGAGATTACCTGGCATTCTACCATCACGGTCTGCCTCCACTGCAAGCTCAATTAGCGTCTCAAGTGATTATCTATTTGTTTATTAACCTCCAAATCTTCTGAGTGTGTCATTTGAAAATTGAGCACTCTGGATTTTCTGCACCACCAACAACAAAGACAACTTTTAGACTGACAGAGGAGGTGCTGACCTGTTTTTATGACTATCGTCAGAAAAATACAAGCTAGAAGCGATTGCAGCAGCGCATCCGACATGCTGCTGCTTCTCTGAAATGTTTCATACAGAATGTTCCTCCTCTATAAAGTCTGTACAAAGCCTAAAGGCACGCAGGGTTTTCACAACAAGTGGTTTTACAACTGTGCGATGATGGGAATACAGTGAGTTTAGATTATCATTCTACAGAACCATTTAGACTGAGACCATGCTGTGTGACAGGGAGAATGACTCTTTGCCCTTAATACATCATCAGTAAGTTACAGGCAGCACTTGTATGTGGAGAACTGAGCAGCATGTTTTCTCCATCAAAGATCCTGAAGATCAAAGAACACAAAATGTTGAATTTATTATTATTTAGGTTATTCTTGTCTGTCCTACTTTTTTTTTTCCTGCTTAAACTATGGCTTATAAAGCTGCTTCTCAGATGAGACAAGATTGTGACATGAGTCGGGCTTTTGAACGAAATCAGAAGTGCATAACATGTGGTTCTTGCTAAAATAAGCTCTGATCAAATTTCCTGAGGATTTTTTTTTTTTGGGGGGGGGGGGGGGGTGTTATCTTGGCAAGCAGGATGCCAAATGTGTACAAGCAAACACAAGAAGGTGGGCAAACTGAGTGAATACTGTTGAAGAGTTTGTATCCAAGTGGAGGACATGCAGCGTTAGAGCTGCATGGCAGGACCGATGTGGAGTAGGGACACCTAATTAATTTGGACGGAATATGTTCTCATGCTGCCTTGGCTTGGATGGACAACCAGCAGAACACATTCCAAGTGATTCAGCAAATGATGCTCTCTATCCTCAGTTAGTGCAGGAATAAATTCATGAGAACTGTATTATTATTTTTTTTTTTTTATGCATCCTTAGTAGCTGTGGTCAGTGGTGATAAAATGCCACGCCTCATTGGACAAAAAGCAATGCCAACATCTGAATAACTCCATGATGCCCACCTTGAAACCAGCAGGCGATTTATTTTTAGGAGAAGCAGAGAGAAAGAGGGGGAGGAGGTAGAGTGAAACTGAGATGGATCAAGGAGAGAAATATGAAGAGAAAGGGAAGGATTAGAAATTAAAGGAGAGATAAGAAGAAGGGACTCTCTTTATCACGTGGAGGTGTGCTCAATCAGGGCATGCAGATATTGAATTAACTGGCTGCCTTTTTAAAAAGCCATTTCAGCAGTCAGATCAAATATGGGCTTTACAACCAGCATTTATAATTTGAATGGAGTTGAAGAGACCTGCACACTGATTGGCTAAAAGCTCCAGCACCATCATCTGTGCACAAACTGAACTCATCCACTGTCCCCCCACCACCCCACCCTTTGGGCACCTCCCCAGCACAAACAATCTAAAAGCTTAAACAGAAAACAGCAGTGACTCTAATCTGAGCCCCCACTTTCCCACCTCCATGGACCGTGAAGCAGGTGCTATTTATAACCCTCAGACATAAGGTGAACAAGGTGGATCGACACAGATGGCACTTCTAATGTTGCGCAACAGGTCTTACCCTTTGTTCCGACGATGCGCAGGTAAAAGGGGGAACAAAGCGCGCGTTCCTATTGGCTAATTGAGTTTCATTAATTGAACCAAAGTTGGTAAAGCGTTTAAATGTGCAGTGTGTGGTTTTCATGCGCGCGGCTGATAACAAATCGGATACCCACCCCCACTCTCTCCGTGTATGATTTTTTTTTGGCACGTGAAAAAAATAAATAAATAAATAAATAAAGAAGCACCTACCGGGGATGGCCATGTTGGTGAGCGGGACCGCGTGCATGCTCTGCGGTAAACTTGCCATCCAGTCCGCGAAGCGCTGGTCGCTTCTCCCGTGAGATGAAGCCATGCTGCCGCTGTGTCGCACGACGGACCGGTGCCTGCGCCAAGCCCGGAGCGCGCGCTCTCTGCCACACTATCCAGACACACACGCAGCGCGCGAGAGACGCGCACACACAATCAGCCTCTCCCTCTCTCTCTCGCACACACTGCATCCCCTCCGAGCAGCAGAACATCACAATCAGGAAAATGTGGTTAATCGGATCCAAATATGGCAACACTGGGAGGAGAAAGCTCCTGCACGAGATCGAGCCATAACACAATAAACTGGTGCATGTTTTTATTTATGCACCCAACTCTGAAAAGCTGCAACACGCACTCAAATACACAAGAATAAGCTTTTTAGGATTATTCCACTATACCTACAGACACATCCGTTCACGGCTCACTGAAGCAATGCTTCAAATCTCATAAAAAGCGATTCAGTTAAAAGCACTCTCATCCCATAAACAAAAAAAAATATGAAAATAAATCGTTTTTTTCCCCCACAAAAATATGCCAAAATAGTCTGGACACCTACGGGGTGGCAGCTGCTGCTGGAAACATATATTGCCATCCCTGTTGCCAAAATATGTCAGTTATTATAGTTTTGTACGACTTTACAATGTTTAAAGTCAAAGACTGCTGCTTCACCATCTTGAACTCACTGATTTAGAATTTGCACACACCTTATTTCGGATGGTTTACCTGCCAATAAATCTATGAATTTCACCAAAAAATACCTCCCAGTCTTCTGTCAAAGACAACTGACTGACATTT